GCAAACCTTTTAGTTTGCAAAATGCTTTCATTTTTGTATTATCTTATTTAGTCCTTTCCCTGAGGAGGAGGTATCATTATCATTGCTATTTTATTGATGAGTAAATTGAGTCTCAGTAAGATTAACTGTCTTTACAGGTCACAGGCCTGGACCCTGGCTCCTCTTCACGTTATTCACCTCGTGTTAAGTAAGTTTTAATATAAAACTGTACCTCCAGAATGGCCTTCACTCATTAAAAAAAAAAATTTCTACAAGTTGGTTAGGTTACATTTGACCCAATGAAGTCTGGAAAAAAAAAAATAATCGACTCTCCTCTGCCTTTCTTCAAATTACCCGACTCGAGCTGGAGATCACAGGATATGGGAAATTAGATGACATATTATTTTTAAGACGTTTGACAGTTCATTAAAGTCTTTGAGGTGATGATCTTTGGTTAGACTTGCGCTATGGTTTCAGTTTTAATTATAATGCCACTATGACAATTCAGGAAAAACTAGCTGGAAGTTTCAATGAGAGAAAAACTATAGTTACAGAAATTTCTGGGAGCTAGAACGATGAAATGTGTGTTGATCTGGTTAAGGAACTTTTTTTTTTAAAGCATCTATTAATAGATGACATTTCAGCTTTACTTTTTGCCCTTTATATAGAAAATATTTCTAAAATATATTAGCCTACTTTCTTTCTAGAGAGTAAGTTCAGGAATGATGTTTAAAACATCATTTAATTTTTTTAAACAAATGGTCTATGCTTTGATAGTGATTACATTAAGCATTAGTTTTTCCTGATAAAGTATGGGAGATATGGATGTTGGCAGTGTCTGAGGATGGGCTAAAATATACCCTAAGGAAAAAAATCATAAGACTATCTTTTCAGAGACCTGCTTATTCTCTGTACTTTATTTCCCTATAAATTCCAGATGATTACCATTAGTGCAAACTTGCTAATAACTAAAGAAATGATCAAAACTTCTTTTAGAAGCTATAATGTAAATATCTCATTTATTCATTAAATAAACACTTGAACACCTACTCATTCCTCTTTTGTAAGATGGGGATAATGACAGAATTTTCTGTATCAATTAGGGTTCTTTGTTGAAGGCAATAGAAATAAACTCTGGCTAACTTATCCAGAAAAAGAATGTACTGGAAGAAAATCACGTAGCTCACAGAATCCCCAGGGATGGTGAACTCAGTGTGTAAAATGGGCAGGACTATCACTGTTGGCACTGTCACAGCCAGAACCTGGTCGCCACAATGATCCACACCACTGGGGATTATCTCTGCATCTTTGCATCGCTTTATGCAGATTCCAAGTTTCAGGTGAGGGCATCCAATTGACTTAACCTGGGTCCCATGCCATGACTACACCCTAGTTGCCAGAAAGTGGGGAGAAGGACTTTGGCCAAACTGTGAAGTGGGCCCTGTTCCCACCAAGACTCAAAATTAAGGATTCTCCACAAATAGGATGGGAGGTCAGAAATTAGGCAGGCAAAAAGCTGGTGTTCATCGTAATGACCTCACAGGGCTGTGAAGGTTTAGTGGGATGACCTGTGGCACAGTGCTGGCACGCAGGAGGCACTCGATCAGTTTCGGCATTATTATTATTATTATTAATCCAATGAGGCAGGCAATGTGCTAATCTCTAGGGATAGAAAAGTAATGGGGCACAATTTCTCATCAAAAAGCTCAACATTCTGGAGAGCTGTTTCAGTGAGAAACAAATATAAAAACATAATTATAATACCAGTTAATAAGTGCTACTGTATAGGTACCTATGGAGTGGGTGCTCTGGAAAACAGGGAAAAGAAAAACCAATTCTGCCCGAGGCAGGACAGAGAAAATAGTCAGACCGAGTTCTGAATATTGAGAGGAGCATCATGAAAGGGCTTGTCATGTTTGAATTCCTATGAGTAGGGTGGGCTCAGGATTGTGAAGGATTCTGTACACCATCTAAATGAGTTTTAACTGATCTGAAAGTCACCAGGACTTGGTGAAGGGGATGACGTAGTCAGATCTGGGGGTGGGGTAACACTTTAAAGGATGAGAGTGAGCAAAGACAATGTCAAGAGTTCACATAAGGGAAGATGATGGCCTGTTCTCAGGGAAGATGGAGAGTAAGACAACAGCTTTAGAAATAATGTATGACATAGAATGAACTGCATTCAGTACCTCCACCACTAGGGGTGAGAGACGGAAGGAGTCCTGGGTAACTTAAAAGACCACAACTTTTTGAGATGAGTGGATGGTAATGCCACAGATTGTAATAGACTCGCTTGTCAAGGGAATCATTTGAAGCAGCTGGGAGAGGAAAGAGACTGAGTTCCTGTGTGGGTTTCAGCCTGCCTTACTTTAGGAGTTGGCAACAAAGATGCAAGCTGAAGCTATTAAAATGGGTATCAGCCAGGGAAGGTGGAGAGAGACTTTAAATACCCACGATATTGACCCCTGTAAAAATGAAGGAACCAGATCACGAAATTTTGCATATGATTTCTGAGGGAGCTCTTGGAGCCCCCATCTATGATAGGAGGTCCGTGGATCTCAGTTTAGGAATCCATGGGCTAGCTAGCACAAGGAGACTGGGGGAAGAGTCTTACAAATATTTAGTGGGTGAGAGCAAAGTTGAAAAGCTTACAAACATAAATACGGAATAAATTGTTAAGATGAGTTTCGGCAGCAGATATGATACAGTTATATCCACCATGCTTAATGACATATATGCAGTTTCCTAGAGTTGTCTATTCTCTTGCTGTTTGTTCATCCATCTATACCATTTATTCAATAATAACAATAATGGTAGGCACTGTTCAAATGAGATGTGAAAGCCACCATGCTTGGCACTAGGGACACAAAGACAAACAAGTCCCCTACCCTGCCCTCAGGGAGCTTACAGTCCAGGTGGGAGGTACTTGTAAGTACACTAAAATAGAGATAGTGAGATAAGTGTTGGAAGACATACGTGCAATGGGTGCTAAGAGAGAGATGGAAAAGCGCACCAAATTGCACCTAAGGTTTGGAATAAGGGGGTTAGGGAAAACTTCTTGGAGGGGACCAATAGGCTTTGTTCTGAAGGATTAATTGGACTTAGCCTGGCAACACTCCAATGTAATAAATAGCATAGCTGTCTGTTCTGGAGTGCAAGCACTTCAGAATGGCTTGAAGGTAAAGTACAAGAAATGGAAAACGGCAGTGGGTGGAAGTGAAACTGGAGAGGTAAGCAGGCCTAAGACCAGTGGTCTAAAATGCCAGTGATTCCCAAGAGAGGTGACACTGTGTGAGGAAGCCTGGTTTAGGACAGCTTTATGGAGTTTAGAATAGTGATGAACTGGGGAACAATGAAAAGGCATTCAAATTCAATGAAAAGAAAAAAACAAAAGAGATCTCCACATGCTAGCCAAACAAAAACAGCTGAAGGATCATATAAGATATCTTCAGGAATTTGGACTTTATACTAAAGATAGTGGAGTGCCACTGTAAGAGTTTAAAGAGAGGAGTACATAATCAGGCTTTCATTTTATAAAATATAAATCTGATGGTATTGTAGACACTGGATTAGGAGGGGACAAGATTGCAGCCTGGGAAATTGGCTAGGCGGCTATAGCGGTATGCGAGACATGAAATGATGGTGGCCTGAAGCAAGACAGTAGTTGCTATGAAGAACTGGATACATCAGACAGATGGGGAGCTAGAAGCAGAGTCTCAGTAATGAATTGGAAGTGGAGGAAGAAGGAGAGAGAGAGAAAAAATCACAAGTCGTTGCTCACAATAAGCTGTATGGGCTTCAATTGGTCTGACCAAGCCGTTTAACCTTAAATCCAAAATGAAGTCAAAGCAGTGAATTGAAATCCTCTCCTCGTTCTTATAATATTTTTCGATCCGGTTTGAAATCTAGTTTTATATACTTAAGATTTACCTCCCGGTAATCTGGAATTACGTTTCTGAGATTGCTGTAAATTATTTCCTTTCTTGGTTTCTCTTCCTCTTTTTTACTTCCCTACTTTATTCTTAATATTTTATTGTTTTAACTGTCTGCTAAAATACTTCATCATAACTTAGCTTTTCCTCCGAGAGAACTGTGGAACATCTGAATAACTGAAACTTGTCCCCTATCAGAATCTTGTCGATTTCCTGAAGTTTTCCCGTTGCTGCTTGGAATGTTTCCGGGGTAATGTTCTCAGGGTAATTTTCCTGTGTAGGTGCGCCTAGCTTTTTTCAGCGGAGACTTTTAGCATTTCTAGTCAATCACCATTTCATTTTCTTAAGAGAAGCTTCTTTTTGTCGTAAAGGCAGTATATGTTTTCATCATATTTCATTTTCAAATATGACTCACAGGTATGTCCCTTATAAAAACAGTAAAACTTAAATGTCAGAAGATCTGAGCTCTAATCAGTATATACGGCGGCGGCGTGAGGGCCGAAGAAATGCCAAATTTCCCGCCCCCCCCCCCCCCCCCCCCCCCGCTCCCAAAAGCGGAACAGCAAGTTTGCTGCACAGGGAGGTTACTACCCTCCTAAGGCAGCCCAACCCGGGGCGACCGGGGCTGCAGGCGAAGTCGCCTGCTCCCTCCCTCCGCAACGACGCCGCCTCGTCCCGCCCGCCCTCCCCACCTCTCGGGGTCCTCGCCCCCTGCCCGAACAACACTCCCCCTCCCGGAACGGATTCCCGCGGCGGCCGGACTGAACGCTGCCCGCACGCAGTCCACGGGGGTGCGCTGCAGGCGCCTGGAGCAATAACCCCCGCGAAGGAGGCCGTTTCGCGGGGGGGCAGGAACGAGGGCTGTGGGCCAGGCCCGGGACGGCCCCTCCCCGCGCCGCCGCGCGCCCTCCAGGTTCCGGAGTCTCGGCGCCGCGGGTCGGCGCGAGGACTGGCGGGGCGGCCCCGCGCCGAGCGCCCCCTCCCGGCGCGCCCGCGCCCGCGCCCCGCCCGCCGGCCCGCGGCGCCCCCGCCCCCTCGGGCGCTCCGTAGCCGTGACGTGCGCGCGGCGGGGCTGGGGACTCGGCGGGTTGCCGGCCGGCGGGCGGAGACGGACCCGGGATCTGTCCGAGCAGGAAGCGAGCTGGAGACCGGTCACCGTCGCCGCCCCGTCCCGGTGCCGGTCCGCGTCGTCGCCCTCTCTCCTCGCCCGCCACATCCCCCCCCCCCCCCCCCCCCCCCCCCCCTCACCGGCGACAGGTAGCCCCGCCGCCACGCACCTGCCCTCGCGTTCGCACCGGTGAGTGCCCCGGGACGCCCGCGGTGGGGCGTCGGCGCCGGGGCCCCACTTCCCGGAGCCTCGCTCCCCCAACCTGGCCTTGCTTCGGGGCCTCCTCTCGCCGCCCGGGGCAGACGAGCTGGCTCGGTTCATCTCCCGGGGACGCTGGGGGTGAAGCAGGTGATGAGTGGGCCCGGGCGGCGGCGGCTCCCGGTAGCGCAGGGGTGGGTCTCATTTCCACAGGACAATGAGAGTCTTCTTTCAAGAGTCTGTTACCACCAGGATGCCTTCGGGTATCTTCTCTGGCTTCCAGGTAGAAGCTGAGCCCTCAGGTGTCCAGCTCTGACCTGGACGTCCCGTGATAGTTTTCTCTTTCGTAAACAGGCTTAAAATTCAGTGCAGGAATAGTGCTTTTTGTTCTGGGATGTGAAGATCAGCTGCTGTCCCAATTAGTTTAATCTTGTAGGAGCCCAGGTTGGGACTGTATAAAGCTGTATTTTTAGTCTTTAGTTGGTCAAGTATTTTGGGTACGTTAATTTATATATCTGCTACTGAACAAGAGATTTTTACATTTTTTAATTCCCAAAACTCTTTAAAACGATTAAAATGCTCAAACTCTGGGGTAAGAAAATAATTTGATAGGGTTATTACTAGAACATCCGTGTCAGAATTATTTCCATACAGGTTTAGAAAACGTGTTACATTTTATCTGGGGTGAAGTTTGTAGTGGAGGAATGCTTAAATCCTAATCTAGAGATCTAAGGAGCTAGGAACACTGCCCCAATTTAATAGGCTGCTGTACGTGGTAGATAAAAGTTTTCCTTGTTATGCTCTGGCGGTGTAGATGCAATATAGCTAAATGTCGTCAGGGTTTGAGAGTTTAAAAGATTAATATTCTTAAGGTTTAGCTGAGCACTGTTCACACCATAAAATGTGAATCTTGAACTTGGGCTGGTAATAGTCATGGTACAAAGGTTGACAGCAAAAGGACATTTCTGTACAAATTAACTAAGATGTCTTGGGTTGTGGTTTGCATTGGAAATTGTTTAGTGAAAAAATTACCTTGGTGTCTTTTACTATTAATTTTAGAAACACCACAAATTGGTCTATAGCCAGAGCTTGAAACAAAGCAGCCTTTTAAAATAACTCATTGACTTTTAAATATCCACCTCATTTAGAGTATTTTCAGTTGTGCAGAATTACTTGCATAGCGGTAAACAGAAGTTACTTTAGTCTTATTCAGGTTTGCCTGTTGCATTTGTATGTTCTGTGTGACATGCTATTTAATTGTTGGCTTTTTAAGTTACATTTTAGTTTTCAAAAACTAATTTTAAAAGGGAGTAATGGAAGTGATAAGCAACTTTAAGAAAAGATTATGATTAAAAACTCACTATGTAATATTTAAAAGTATATATAATATACATATATTCTTCATTAGTGCTTGGAAACGTGGACAAGAAAAATATAATAAGCTATTGCAATATTTAATGTAAATTCATGCAAGGTCTTAAAAATATCATAAATCATAACCCATGGAACTCATCTGAAATGGATTTTTTTCTCTGTTTATGTTTGTGTGATCAAGTTTTAAAATAACAGTGGCCAGGAAATCTGAGAGAAGCTGAAGGCTCTTTTTTCATCCTGTTGTGACTTTGCCTGGAGACTGTGGTGTATTATGTAGCCCATTGTTTAGACAACGGGCTGTCTCAGGGTTCTAAAAATACAACTAAAATTAAAAAAAAATTTGACTATGTGAGGTTTGAATAAATATAAGCACCCCAGATATTAAAAAAAAAAAAACTGATTTTCAGTCTGCTGATAATTGAATCCCCATGTCTGTTATGTAAAATGTCAGTTTTATAAAGATGTTTAACCTTTGTGAATTTTTTATTTCTCTATATTAAAACATTTTAAGTAAAAGATTGAAAAATGTATGACAAGTGTAATAAATCTCATACAGTTTAATTTCGATCCTTACAATGAGACATTTGGTAGTAATGTGACTGGCCCTTTAGTAGGATAAGATCGTCACCCATTTATTAGGCATCTGCCATAATCAGAACACTAACTGAGGAACTTGATCTGCAAAATAATTTTCAAGGTTGGTGGTCTTGTCCTTTTTACACATGAGGAAATTTAGGCTCAGAGAATTGAATATTTGCTCAAGGTCATGAGGTCATGTAGCTCCAGGGAGAGTCTGGATTCACACCCAAGTCTTCTGACCATAAAACCTCAGTCCTTTCCACCAGAGCAGGTTGCCTTAATCTCAGTGCAATTGGTAGACTATTCTGGTAAACCTGCAGAACTGGTATTGTGTTAAAGAATGTAACTGGAGGTTTGAACAAGGTACAGAGGAGTGACATTAAGAAGGGCCAGGAATGGGGCTCAGAATTAATTTTGAATTCTGTGTCTGTTTCTTTATTCTTAAGTAGACAGCCTTGAACAGTGATATGATGTTGCTTTATCATTTCTGGGGTAAATTCCAGAATATTATACATACTGTGCACTTTTAATTTTGATGGGCTGTAGGAACTAGAATTAGGCTGTAATGTAACACTGGTTTTCATTGTAGCTTAAGTGAATAATGTAATGTACCTGGTTAGGGTAGAACTTAAAAATGAGATAGGTTATTGCCTGTAAATGCAGTAGCTGCCTTTTAAATGTTATGTAATTAACTGTGTAATACTAAGGGGAAAAATGGTTTTCAGATTCTGATTAAATTGTGACCTGTTAGATCAGGACAATTTTTTTTTTTTTTTAATGTCCTGTGTTTATTTCAGGAATGTCCCTTGAGCTGTAATAGACACAAAGAACAAAGTGAGCACACAAAGTCCATCTTTTGTAGCAAATGAGTCATTTCAGCAGTAGAATGTAGTTGGGTAAATGAACAGAAAATTGGTAGGAAGGCTCAGTTGGGTGACTTCTGTTACGGGTATGTCTTTGTTTTGAACTATTAGGAAGGATACTCATATTCAACTGTAAATACAAAACCATCATCCAAGGGCTTAATGTAAATTATTAATGGATGATTTGTAACACATCTGCTTTCGTGTGTGTGTGTGTGTGTGTGTGTGTATGTAGATAATCAAGAACTAACTAAAGTTAAATAAGCTTAATTCTGTTTTTGAGGCATTATATAATGTTCAGAGGAACCAGGATGTTCTACATTTAAAACAGTTATGCTTTTATTTGACAGATTTAGTGGACTGTTAATAATCTTAAAATATAAGTATATCGTCCTACTTATGGTTTTCAAAAATAAGCTTTCTTTTCTCATTGAGTAGTGTAAGAATGACATAGTGGTTTGAGCAATGACCACAAGTCCAGCAAAAGTTCTCCCTGTGAGTACTGAAGTATGGGAAGTAAAACCAGAACAGATCTGGCATCTTTAGAAACCTTGCTAGTGTTGAAGAGAGGGGAAGTCCTTTTCTATTTATAAAACCTGTCTCTTCCAGTGAAACCAAAATACTGAAGCACATTCCTTAGGTGATATTCACATGCCTGCTGAGTAATGTGGGCAAAGCAAGGTGGTGCTCCTGGCAAAACCACAGGCATCTTTTATGCACCTTACATCACTTGTCATTTTATTTGAAGGTAACCTGCTGCTTAAGCTTTACAAGGTAAGGTATTACATATCACAGAATTTTAAAAATTTCTGTTATATGTGGATGAGCATCTTTTTCAACAGATACTTATCGATGGTTCATTGTGTTTAAAATATAGCTGTTGATGGGAACTGGTTCTTCCCTGTTGTGGCAGATCTTTGGATCTAGGAAATAGGAGGAGTGGGACAGATGTGAAAAGAAAGATAAACAGAAACATCCATTTAAAACCTGAAGCTGTTTATGTCAGAAGTTAACACCCTACATGAATGACGCTTTACTCTTTTGGAAATCGTTTTATGTACATTTGGTCCTAGAACAACTTGATGAAGTAGATGTGGTACATCTGTTCTTACTCTGCACATGAGAAAATGGAGACACAAAGATAAGTACTTTGTTCAAGGTCACATATGAGGCTGCTTAGAAGCGTCACTGAGAATGGAACTGCTATCTGTGTGTTCCCATGGAGTCCTCCCTCCCCCAGGTCTCTAACTCCTAGATTTAGTAAGGGTTAACCTTTCAGCAGTGACTTATTTCATTTTGTGGATTTAATTCAGATGGTTCAGGCAATTCTGAATAGTCAGGATAGCTAAAGTGATAATTATTAAATATGTAGTTACACTTTTTTCTTCTTGTTTTTTAACGTAAGGTAGAAGGTGAGCATGATGTAGTATTATGGAACTACTTGAACATTTTTAATAGATTGATGGAGTCGAGGTTGGTAATTAACTTTTCTAGTAGCAGTGTTTTTAAGGGAAAACCAACAATTAGTTTTAAAAAAGAAAAATATTCTGGAGGAATTTTGAAAATAAGTTTTATTATTTGGTACATTGATATTGATCTGATTATTCTTGCTTTTGTAAAGACTTGCTAATGAGCTAAGGTGTGTCTCAGTTGGTACCTTTATGCCTTCATTCATTTCACAGATATTTGAGTGTCTGTCATGGGCCAGGCACTGTTCTGAGTGCCGACGATAAGGTGGTAAAACCAAGTCCTTGTACTGAGTGACATTTTGTTGTTGTTTTGAATTAAGTTAATTATAGACTCATCATTCTAGTATGTGATTAACAGGGCTGACCCTAAAGTTGGGAAATAGTTGTCAAAGTGGTACAATTTGAGGGCTACTAAAAGCCTCATTTGCTCTAAAATATTCTGCTCCTGGCCTTTAGTCCACTGAGTTACAGCACTGTTACCAGTTGCTTCCTGATATATAAGAACATATTCCATCTTTTATCACAGTTTCAGGAAATAAGGCTGAGAGAAAGTAAATGGGACCCAGGACTGATAATGTTGGCTTTCGTAAGAGAGTGGGTTGGCAAAGTATAATTTTAGTAGCCGCTGTTGTTTATTGAGCTCTTGCTGTGTGGCAGGTACCATGTCAAGCAAGTATTTTATGTACGGTAGCTCAGTTAATCACTA